TTTTTTGTTTGTTCATATTTCAAATCTTTGACTTGATTCTTGCGATCCTCTAGTCTGCTGTTGGAACTCTGTATAATATTCTTTATTTCAGTCAGTGTATGCTTAATTTCTAGTTGGTCCTTTTTCATAACCTTGAGGGTCTCACTAGATTTCTTGAGGGTCTCACTAAATTTATCGGCGGTTTCTAGAAAATTCTTGAAAAACCTTATAAGTGTGGTTTTGAACTCTATATCCAGTAGTTTGCTTTCCTCCATTTCTGCCATTTGTGAACTGTGTCTTTGTCTCCACATTTTGGCTGCTTCCCTGTGTTGATAGAGTGGCTTTGTGTGCTAGGTGTCCTATAGGGCCCAGTGGCTCAGCCTCCCCAATTACCTGAGGTGGACACTCTTGGTACATCCCTTTGTGGGCTGGGTGCACAGTCTTGTTGTAGTTAAGCCTTGATTGTTGTAGGTATCACTGGGAGGAATTGACCTCCAGGCCAATTGGCTGTGAGAATCAGCTGTGGTTATGGTGGGAGAACTTCTGTGCTGGAGACACCCTTCTGGGGCAAAACTTGCTTCAGTGGGGCTTTGGTGCTCACTGAGTCTTCCCCCTGAGTGTGTCCCTTATGGATCTGAGGAGTTGTAATCTGGATGGTCCCACTCTGACCACTGGGTACACTGGCTCTTGGATCTCTAAGGAGGTGCTAATCTAGCCTCTTCCTGAGGCTACCCAACAGGAGCTATGAGAGATCTGTAGATTCCTCTTCTTTTTTAGGGGTTTGGAGGTGCCCAGATGAGGCCCAGCTGTGAAGCAATGCAAGCTGCTGTGGGGCCTTGGGGCTTCTTTTGGAAGTTCTGGGTCTCTCTGACCCAGCAGCAGTTTGTTAGGTAATTTTCAGATTGCAAAGGGCCAGGCCTTTCATATGCAAAAGCCTCTGCGCACAGCTTGGGTGGGGCGGGGTCTCAGGGGATCAACAGGGTGGAGCAAGCAGCTATGGCTGCTCCTCAGTCCTACCCTAAGAGGCCCCGCGTCTCAGTGTCCCGGTAATCACTGCAAGCACCTCTGAGAGAAAGCCGCCCTTGAGTTCCGACTGATGCCAGACAGTCCAGTTTCTCCACGTATGAGTTTGGGTCCCCGGAGACTCACCCAGAACTGGAGTTCAGAGCATTCGGGAGCTTGAGACTCCCTCCCAATTGAAAAAGACAATCGTGTTGTCAGTTGCCAGCCCTTTCCACTTGTGCCTCCATACTTCTGCACTTTACTTCCGCACCTCCTCTGAGTCTCAGTGTGCTTTTCTCTTTCCTTCTAGTTGTAGAATTTCCACTCAGCCAGCCTTCCTGTGGTTCTGGATGATGTCCATTTTGTCTTTTAGTTGTATTTTTGAAGTGGTTGTGCGAGGCAGCAATCTCCGGTGCGGCCATCTTGGTTTTTCTGGAGTTTGCATTTTTAAATCATCTTTATAGTCATCTCCATTCTGGAATCCAACCAGAAACAATCTTAACAAAGCACTTTTTAAAAAATATTTTTAATTTTTTTTTTTTATTGATTTCAGAGAGAGGAAGGGAGAGGGAGAGAGGGAGAGAAACATCAATGATGAGAGAGAATAATTGATGGGCTGCCTCCTGCACGCCCTCTACTGTGGGTGAGGCCCACATCCTGGGCAGGTGCTCTGACCGGAAATCAAACCATGACCTCCTGGTTCATGGGTTGATGCTCAATCAGTGAGCCATGCTGGCTGGGCCCCAAGCACTCTTAGTAAACTCTAGTCCAGCCGTGGGCAAACTATGGCCTGCAGGCCGGATCCGGCCCGTTTGAAATGAATAAAACTAAAAAAAAAAAAAAGACCGTACCCTTTTATGTAATGATGTTTACTTTGAATTTATATTAGTTCACACAAACACTCCATCCATGCTTTTGTTCCGGCCCTCCGGTCCAGTTTAAGAACCCATTGTGGCCCTCAAGTCAAAAAGTTTGCCCACCCCTGCTCTAGTCCCTCCCCCATAGTTTATATAAATATAGTTTTGTATATGGCACAAGATTTTCAATTCTGCTTTTTCTCTTTTTTTTGCTTGTCCTTGCTTCACATAGCCCTTTCCTCACCATCATATCAGGACACCGTTGTCTGCTTGTCATTCTTACACAGTGAAATAGTGATGTGTTTGGTCCTTAGTTATAATAAACCAGAGGCCTGTTGCACAAAAGATTCGTGCAATAGGCTTTCCCTTCCCCTGCTTGCCGGCACCAGTTTTCCTCCAGCACCTGGGACCCAGGCCTTCGCTCCGGCCGGAGCCGCCTTCAAGCCTTCGCTGCTCCGGCCGGAGCAGCCTTCAAGCCTTTGCTGCTCCAGCTGGAGCCACCTTCAAGCCTTCGCTGCTCCAGCCGGAGCCGCCTTCAGTCTTCGCTCCGCTGCTTCGCGCCTACGTATGCAAATTAACTGCCATCTTTGTTGGTGGTTAATTTGCATATCTCGCTGATTAGCCAATGGGAGGCGTAGCGAAGGTACGGTCAATTACCATATTTGTCTATTATTAGATAGGATAAGCCACTTTCTCTCTTGAGAAAGTACTGGTTTATAGTTCCACCATCACTGCATTTGGAGGGCCGTTGACTGTGGGCTTTGGACAGGTAAGCAACTCAGAAGATTCTAAATTGTCAACTCCAAATCCCAACATGGTAACAGTGTCCTTCCTCCCTCAGCAATTAAAATGAAGAGTTGGGTGACTTCACCCTGGTCCCCAGCCTGCAGGCCAGTCCTCTGCTGGCTTCCCGGTTACCTCTCCCTTCCTCCTCTACTCAAGGAGTAAGGCCTTCAATTGCAGAAACCAAATTTGGACTTATTAGCCAAATCTAGACTTAATTATCAAAGTCCTAAACTCCCAGAGATATTCTAGAACCAAAAATAAAAGATAGTAGAGGTGTCCACTATTTGGTGTTTTTATGCAGGTTGCTCCTTTATTCTGATGGCTGACAGAAAATTAATTGTTCTGTGGTGAAAATAATTGGTTTTCCCACTGCTGTTGTCCACAGTGCCTGTATTTGTCACATTCTGCTTCTCGAAGCCTGCTCTTCCCATCTGACTCTGAATTATCGGTCAGCCAAGAGACAGACTTGCCAGGAGTGTGGGCGCTGGGGCACTGCCCAGGTCTCCCGCAGGCGTCATGTGCATGTTTAGAGGGTTGCGTAGCTGTATTGTGAGGAGTCATACAGGAATAGTTTTACCTGTTTGTTTTGTTATATTTTAATTTGTTACTTCAGCTTTCTCCCTCTTAGCCTGTCTCCCTCTCTCTCTTTCTTCATCTCTCTCTCCTTTTTGGTGTGAGATTTATTTGCCCTCTTTGGAGTGTCTCCTTCCTATGTTTAATAATTGTTTGCTTCATCTTTTAAACACTGGGAAGCCAGTAAAGATAAAGCAAAGTTACATAAGAAAAGACTAAGGAGACCTAAATCTAAGCTTGACATTTAAAAAAAAAAAAAGGTGAATTCTATTCTATGGCTTTTTAAAATAGAATGAATTCTATTCTATGGCTTTTTAAAATAGAGAATGTTTTAAAGCAAAATGTGGAATTAAGTGGTGTCCTGAAAAGAGCAGTCTTTGCAGACAGGCAACTGAAGTTGAGTTCTTGCTTCCCACTTCCTGCCATTGACTTTGGGTGAGTGCCATCAGTTTCCTCGCCTGTAAAGTGGGACCCCTGTGCTCACTTCTTAGAGCTATGAGGAATCATGAGACCACAGAGCTTGGTCTCCTTCTAAGAAGGCTGAGGTAAGGTTCCAAAGGAACTTGATAAATGGTAGGGCTCCAGGGTACCCTGGTTAGGTGATTGTCAGCCCACTGACTTGTGAGTCACTTCTCTGAAGGCTTTATAGGAAATGGGGGTAAGCCCTCTCAAGGAGAGGAATGTAATTACCCATAACAAGATGAGGGGAGGTTGAAGGTGTGTGGAGCTCCAGTGTAGCTAGAAAAGTCAGTTAGGTCCACTGACCACATGCGGAATGGGAGTGAGCCAGCTGAGTACTCACTCCCCTTGTGAAAGGCACACAAAACCACAGCTGAGCGTATAGAGCAAAGCCTGGGAGGTAACTCATCCTTCCAGAATATTTTGAAATAATCACACTCTTTTAAGAACTGCCTGCTTTTTGTCTCCCACTTTTTAAGTGGATAAAACTGCAAAAACCAAAAAGATTACAATGAGATTGCAAAGTTGCTCCAAAGAGAGATAATTTAAAATTGTTAACCTCAACAAAGAACCTTAACTAGTCTCCTCATGCCTTCCATGTCTGAGGAGAAAGGATAAGGTGAATTATTTAAAACAGAGAGTTTTTAGTTGGCTAAAACAATGTATTCTGGAGTTATTAGAAAGTTAAAATGGGAAATCAATAGGGATAAAGGATTCTAACTGGCGATGAAGTAAAAAAGAGATCAGCACCTTAGATCATTCTTCAAGGCAGATAACTTTTTTTAACCTCACTTCCAATCTGTTACACTCTAGTGGCAGAAAAAGTTATTTTGGATTTTCTTTTCTATTTTGATGTTTTTCACTACATGGTTGAACTTGATTTAATTTTTCATTGTATTTTGCAATGAAAATCCTGTAAAATATTGCCAAGAAGCATTGATATTTTATGAGTTATAGAAAAGTCATGAAACTTTGCTATCACCCAAATAAAGTTGGATTATGTTTCCCTCATTACTAGGAAGGATATAATTTTTCTCCCTGGAAAATATTTAATTCATATGCTTAAAATGAATTTTCTGCAGTTTTAGTCAGAATAGTGAATTTCTATGCAAAGACTACTGCACTTTATGACACAAAAGCTAATGTAATGAGTTTTGTAAAAAAGATGCTGTGGTGGGATCAATGTTCCTCAATCTTTGAGATATATTGTATTCCTTCAGAAAATTGTTTGGGGCTGTCTATAATAACTAGTTGTTCTAATATTCTGTAATCAATGGTGATTGAGTTCTAAGTATTTTCTTTCTTTAAGCACAATTGACAAACATTTATTGTATTTTTGTATGTATATGAGTTTGTGGGAATGGTGCCCAGAGCCGTGGGTGCTTTACTCCATTTTGTGAAAATGGTGCTATAATACCAACTTCATATGGGTAAACAGGGACAGACATCTCATATACAACAAGTTACATATATCTAAGGCCACGCAGTTAAAAAGGTCAGTCTATGGACACAAGGTCAGTACATTTTCTCCTACTATCTATATATATAAAGAGGTAATATGCTAATTGTCCTAACAGTGTCTCAGTCAGGACCAGTCAACAGGATGTGCACGCACAGGAGCTGGTGGGTGGGGATGGGGGCGGGGACTTGTGCCACGGGGACATGAGGCTGCAGCAGGGGGTGGCCCCCTGGCGGAGGCGCGCACAGGCCTGCAGCACCGTCCAGCCTGGAGCGGGGCATCAGGATGGGGGCAGGGCCTCGGCAAAGAGCTCTCAGCACTCCTGCGCCAGGGTCTGAAGGCGCGGAGAGGAGGGGAGAGCACAAAGGCAGTTAGGGGGTTTAGGCCAGTAGGGGAGAGCAGATAGGTAGTTAGGGCGATCAAGCCAGGAGGGGAGTGCAGATAGGCAGTTAGGGCGATCAAGCCAGGAGGGGAGTGCAGATAGGCAGTTAGGGGGATCAGACAAGGAGGGGAGAGCAGTTAGGAGCATCAGGCAGGCAGGCAGGTAGCACTTATTAGCCAGTGGTTCTAGATTGTGAGAGGGATCCCAGATTGGAGAGGGTGCAGGCCAGGCTGAGGGACCCTTCCGCCCCTACCCCCACCCCCACCCCCACCGCATGCACGAATTTCATGCACCGGGCCACTAGTTATTCATAAAGAACATGGATTCCTCATGTCACACCCCAGACACTTAATTTTATTCTAGAACAGCATTTTCTCAACTGTCTCTATAAACTCTAGTTTATCAGGACCAAGTTCTGCCAAAATTGGATTAGGTGATTACATGTGCTTAGGTAAGGGTGGCTTAGACAAAATAAAGCAGACTTCTTTACTGCAAGACATCTCAGAACCTTCTTGAGCTCATAGGCATTGTGACTTGCCTGCATTGTGAGAAAGGCAGATGTTGTGGGGGGTGGAGTGGAGGGAGGGGCATGGTTTGCAGAACCCACTTTATAAAATGCTTTGACATTGATCCCTAGTGCCATCAATGAAGACAGCCTTTTAATAACACCATTAAAAGAAACTCCTCACTATTATCTTTGAACATAGAGGGAGGATATGGGTACATATAAGCTTGCAATTAAATCCTGAGATTATAGCCCTGTGATAAGGCATTTCTTAACAGGCAGGGCCTCTCGACTCTTTCACAAAACAGCTCTTCATGCCACTGTCTCGGGAAGGCACAGGTCATAGGTCAGACCCCCAGGGCCTTCACCTGGGCCTCCCTGTTTCCCAGGACTTGTCCCCCTGGACATGTCTACCCAGGACAGTTGCAGATTCCCCTGGCACCTCTGCATCTCCTAGGAGCGACCATCACCAGCTCAGTGTCAGTGTGGTAGCTGAAATTTTGCCCAGAGACGAAATATTTTATACCCATAGCAAAGAAATCTGTTTCCGTGTAGGCATAGCACAGGTGAAGACGAGAGTTATGTTAACATTTGAACTGCCCCTCTTTCAAGAACCTGAAAAAGGAGTGAACATGGTTTCTTCTCATTCTGTTGCAGGGGAGAACGCAGGGCAGACACCCATGAACATCAATCCTCAGCAGACTCGTTTCCCTGATTTTCTGGACTGTCTCCTGGGAACCAATGTGGACCTTGGAACTCTGGAATCTGAAGATCTGATCCCCCTCTTCAATGATGTAGAGTCTGCTCTGAACAAAAGCGAGCCCTTTCTGACCTGGCTGTAGTCAGTATATTGTAACCTGTGTGCAGCCATGACCTGACATTTCCTGGGCCTCTTGGGAAAAGCGATGGAGCAGAGCAAGTCTGCAGGTGAACCGCTTTCTGCCCCCATGACTCATGCTCCCTCCTTTCCATGTGGCCAGTTTAATCATTGCCTGGATTTGATTGATAGTAAACTAAGTTAAACATAAATAAATATTCTATTTTCGTTTTCTGCAAGCCTGCATTCCTGTGGTGGGTTATGCAGAATTGCGTTCCTGTTTTTCTCTCTGTAGCCCCATGACTAAGCTTTATGGGTGTTAATTGAAATTTTTACATCAATTGATTATAAACCATAAAAAGTTGACCACAGGCAGTGATTTCTGACAGGTGGCTCGGTCCAGGAAATGTATACAAAATCAGACCTGATTTACAGTTTTAAAGCTATTGATGACAATAGTACCAAATGCTTTAAATATTTACCTGAACTTTAAAAATCATCATATAAATAGTAAAATTTTGCTGTATGGAATACCGTGTAGTGCTGAATCCATCCTGGTTCTGATGATTCTTATTACTCTGTATTTACAAAGTCACACACAGTCCTCTTGTAGTTTATGCTCCATCATTTTGGGCATAGCATCTGCATAGCTAGTCCTTCCAGTGGGAGAGTGGCGGCAGCATGCCATAGTCCCTATGCTGCGGATCTTATGAATGACACCCGTTTGCTACTAATTATGAGCATTTATTAAACAAAACATTTAAAATTACAAGTTATATTTTTTAAAAATTACTGCTTAGAAATTGATGTTTATTTTATGAAGCACTATATTTTGTAGCTGATGACAAAGGGCAGGCAAATATTTTTGATGAATCAGTGGCAACTGCATTTTTGTCTTTTGAAATTGTTCTGAAAACATCAGGACACATAGCTTTCAGTCCAATGGCACACACAGCAAGCTGTTGCTTTTTAAATTCTGAAGCCTTGTCAGTTTTGCTTTTAAGATTTCAAGTTTTAAAATAGTCTTATCTATGAAACTGTTTGAAGGATGAAGCAGATCTCTGACTGACATTTAAAAATATGTCCTCTAGATGGTGTGTGGTGGAGGCATATGTTTCTGAATTCAGTAAAAGTGATTCCTAAGTATATTATCCTAATCCTTTTGTTACAGTTGGTATAAAAAGGCATGAAATATGTACTCAATACCTCTTATGTAACCAAAAAATGTTTTTTTTATTAGCTTTTAAGGACTGAGAGAGTGCATCGGGTTCACCTGGCATGCACTCTGTCTGCCAATGAAGTCCTCAACTGTTTAGTGTTTTCAACTGACGTTATTTATAATATATGAATTTAGTATCTTTTTTAAAAGACAATAATTGAGGTCTCTGGGAGGAACCTTTCAATTCCCAAGGGGACTTATTCATTTGGGATCGTAAATGAGATCCTTTTGATCTATCAGAATATAGATGGGCAGAGTACCTTTTATCTTGTTGGAAAGAAGGCACGTGGAAAGGTCAGAGATTAAGTAGTAAAGTTATGGAATATAGTGGAAAGGATACCAGTTGTGAAATGAAAATAGACAAGCTATAGTACCCCAAAAGCAAGACAGGCAGAAGGTATGAGCAGTGCACTCCCAAAACAAAACAACAATTTTCGACTACAAACTTTATACCAAAAGACTGTTGTAGAAGAAAAGAAGGCTTTCGTGCACTTTATGTGGTGGGGGAGGGGCAGGGATGGAGCCCTGTTCATGCTGATGCTGAGCAGCAGGTGGACAGGGCATGAGCCTGCTGTGCTTCCCACACAACGCAGCGATTTCTTTTTCCTGAAGGACCCGTGATTTAAGTTCCTTTTGTTTCTTCTCTCTCCAAGTCTCCGAGAGAGATGGGGGTGATGTTTATGTTGCTACTAAATTGAAGGAAGCACTATTTCTTTTTCTCTTGTGTTAGCAATAATTGCAAAAAGAGTTGTACATTCTAAGAAAGAAAAAAACAAAAACAAAAAAAAAAAACAAGGGACCTAACAAAACTGAGCAGTGTTACTGTATTTTTAAAAAATATTTTTATAGACTCATTTTCAGGTTATTAAGTGTAAAAGAAACAGATACCCCTCTTTTTTTCCTAAAGTAGTTAAAACATCGATGATTTGTATTATCAATTTTTAGAAATAATTTCCTAATAAGCTTGTGGCATTAGAAAATACTAGAATTTTTTAAGTGAAATTAGTTGAAACATTTGTTAATGAACATAACAAACATTTTTTTCAGAATTAAACATGGACTCTGACTATGTGCTTACTAATAGATAAAGCCAGATATAATTTTTTGTGTTTGTTTTTAAGGCCATAAAATATGGCTTTTGTTAAAGAACACTAAAGCTAGAAATCTATGTAAGAACAGCTTTTTAAAGGCTACTTCCTATTATTATGAGTGTTAAAACCCCTGCAGAATCATGATAAGGTGCTATTTATACTGTTTTTCTTATTAGAAAACAACCACCAGGATATCTAGTCTTTTTAGTTCTACATCCATCAACTTCAACATTTCATTCAGTAGTTTTGCCATAGAAAAGGCATATTAAAATTGAAATAGGAAAGTAATTTCATGTATCTTTCTTTCTAGGTCCCCCCCCCCCCCCCCCCCCCCCCACACCCCCAAACACATTTTCTTGAAGTAAATACATTGTTAAAACCTATTTGCAACTCCATTCAATCTAAGTAATTCTTAGTGTTTCACCTTAGTATTAGGATGTGAAATGCCATCTCTTTCACTGATTACACAGTCTACCAGAAGCACGTAAAACAGGAAAAAAAGACAGTATGCCAAGGGGCTATTCCCAGTTTGGCAGAAAAGCTCTCAGTAGAGGAAGGTGATCTGAGTGATAGGAGTATAGGAGTGTTGCTAATTACGAGTTGTTTTCTCATGATATAATTAGGAAGTAACTTCTGAAAGTACAACTTCTATGAAAAAAAGAAATTATAGATTAGTTTAATTGGGAAAATGGACCATTGACAGAGACTGTTTCCCTAACACACTACATCATTTCTGTGCTAGTACTTTAACTTTTTACAAACTTTACTTCTACATTTTATAATGTGTTTAATTTTAATTTAGAATGCTATGTGTACAGAGAGTATGCAGCCAAATCAGGCAGATCAAACCATTTTTTTGGTACTAGTTTTTACTTCTCTGATTCTGTAAAAGAAAAATAAATACAATTGAGTTTCCATATGGAGCCTTTGTCTTTTTATTATTTGTGTGTGTTCCTTTTCCTGAGGGCTTTGGGTGTTACTATACTAAAGAGAGGCTTATGCAACCCTCCTGGCAGAGAATGAAAGAAAGAAAATTTTGTAGGCAAACATTTTTTTGGCTCAAATGCTTGTTTTTCAATATTCTAAATATCCTTTATTTGAAGTGACCCTCTGGGATTTTTAAAGACTGTGCATATTTATTGTGTGTATACTTTAAAACTTCTACTGTCCTTCCAGCACCCTCACAGACTTGACAGACATCAGAAGTATAAGAATTCAGTTTTTCTTCTATTGTTAACAGTATGGTATACCTCCTTGTGGTCATTCACTCTGTGCACTGGGACTGTGTTTTCTCTGCTTGTTGAGTCCCTTGACTCTCACTGCCATGATCCTTTTGTCACTGCACAGGAGCACTGGGGGAGCACACTTGTGGCAGAGAGTGTTTAAGCAGAAACATTCAGCTAAATAGCAGAGAGAAGAGATGCTAGTGGAAACATTACCCACATTCCAGGGTCTAAGTCTCATGCATCGTTTTAAAAACCATATTTCATCATCATTTGTAAGGTAACGTGCTCATTGTTGAAAATGTTATAAGTCACAACATGTATAATGTAAAACTAAAAGTTCTGTATCCCCCAAATCTCACATTAAAATAAAAAAGTACATTAGATGCTTTATCTATACGTGAGATTTTTTTTTAGCAAATGGAAAGCATTTATACATGCTGTTTAGAAGCTTTCATTTTTTTCTCTTAATAACAATGATATTACTAATACCTATTAAGCATATACTATATGACAGAAACTATGCAAAACAATTGCTATAATCTAATATGCACAGCAACCTTACTATTTTAAGGATATTATCCTCAATTTACAGATGAAGAAATTGAGTATTGGAGAGGTTATGTAACTTGTATAAGGTCACACGATAAGCAACAGATATATCCCATACCTTCTGGTCATCTTTCCATGCCAGTACATATAGTTGTATACTTCATTATTTTTAACAACAAATAATATTCTTTTGTATGGATGTCCCTTATTGATAGCCAGGTGGTAGCTAAAAATACTGCTTTAGAAAAGGGCATATTCTTGTGTGAATATGGCTGGAGGGTAAGTAACTTCCTAGGAAAGAAATTACTACATCAAAAGATACGTGATTTTAAATATTGATAAATTCTGCCAAATATTTTTCAAAAAGACCTACCCATTTCTATTTCCAACAACAATGTGTACAAAGGTCTGTTTCACCATTGCCAACCTAGAGCTGCATAATGCCTAACTTTTTAACATCATTTAAAAATTTTTTAATTATAGTTGACAAAATATTATATTAGTTTCAGGTGTACAACCCAGTGATTAGACATTATAAAACTTACTGATAAATCTCGTACCCATCTGACATTATACATAGTTATTAGAATATGATTGACTATATTCCCAATACTGTACTTGACATCCCCATGACTATTCTGTAACTACCAATTTGTACTTCTTAATCCCTTCACCATTTCACCCATCCATTCCTCCTCCCATCTGGTAACTGTCAAAATGTTCTCTGTATCTATGAGTCTGTTTTTGTTCTGCTTGTTTGTTTATTTTGTTCTTTAGCTTTAATTATTGATAAATATGTATTTATTGCCATATCTTTGCCCTTTTTCCCCCCTTCTTGAAGATCCTTTAATATTTCATTTAATACTGGTTTAGTGGTGATGAACTCCTTTAGCTTTTTCTTGTCTTGGAAAGTCTTTATCTGACCTTTGATTCTAAATGAAAGCTTCACTGGGTAGAGTAATCTTAGCTGTAGGTCTTTGCTTTCATCACTTTATTTCTTGCCTCTCCCTTTCTAGCCTGTAAAGTTTCTGTTGAGAAATCAGCTGATAGTCTTATGGGAGCTTTCTTGTAGGTAACTAACTGCTTTTTTCTTTCTGCTTTTAAGATTCTCTCTTTGTCTTTAGACCTTGGCATTTTAATTGTGATGTTTCTTGGTGTGTGCTTCTTTGGGACTTTCTGTACTTCCTGGACATGGTGTCTGTTTTCTTCACCAGGTTAGGGAAGCTCTCCATCATTATTTTTTCACATAGGTTTTCAATTCCCTGCTCTCTTTCTTCTCCTTCCAGTACCCTCATGATGTGAATGTTGGTATGCTTGAAGTTGTCCCAGAGGCTCCTTACACTCACCTCATTTTTGGATTCTTTTAAAAAGTATTTTTGCTGTTCTGATTGGGTGTTTCTTGCTTCCTTATATTCCAAATCACTGATTTGACTCTTGGCTTCATCTGCTTTACTGTTGATTCCCTATAAATTATTCTTCATTTCAGTTAGTGTATTCTTCATTTCTGACTAGTTCTTTTTTTATGGTTTCCATATCCTTTTTATGCTATTGAAGTTCTCTCTAAGTTCATCTATTCTTCCCCTAAGTTAATTGAGCATTCTAATAACCAGTGTTTTGAACTCTGCATCTAATTGATTGCTTGTCTCCATTTTGTTTAGTATTTTTTCTCGAGTTTTGTTTTGTTCTTTCATTAGGGACATAGTTCTTTGTCTCCTTATTTTGGCAGTATTTGTTTCTATGTATTAGGTAGACCTGCTACATCTCCCGGGCTTGTTACAGTGGCCTAATATAGTATGTGTACTGTATGGTCCAGGGGCACAGCCTCCCCCTTCACCCAATCAGAGCACTCCAGGAGTACCCCACCCTCGTGTGGGCTGGGTACACCCTCCTGTTGTAGTTGAGCCTTGATTGCTGTTGGCACCTCAATGGGAGGGATTTACCCCCCAGGCCAGTTACCAGGTGTACTGGTTAATAATGCGAATTTTTTTTCAATAGATGGAGTTACACATATGTTGATATATATGCGATTTGATATGTATGCTATTTTGTTATGTTGACAACAAGCTTCAAAACTTCATATGTCAAATTTTCTGAAGGTGTTAACATCATAGATATTTTTACACATAAAAATGTCGAATTTCATGGCAAAAAAAAGAGCATTTGTGGGACGTTTTAATTCATTACTTTATTTTGAAGAAAAGTGCTGCTGAAAGTTATTGTATACTTTGGGAAGCTTACGGTGAACATTCTCCATCTCAAGATACTAGTAAGTCCCAGGTGGTGGCAGGATATGACTGAGGACTTTGTGTTGGTCTCAGGCAAAACACACGTGAAGTACACACAAACCATGTCAACAAACCCTGGGTAACTGTCTTGGCACACACCTGCAAATGCAGGAAGAGACTGCTATCTAGCACATATTGTAATCCATGGAGTGTATTCATCCAAAAGGTGAGATGAGACAAAAGTAAGAAGAGGGAAGAGGTGGCAGAGGTGGAAGAGGATGGAGAGGAGAAGGAAGAACAAAATAAATCCAGGATTTAGAACAATTCATGGGAAAGAACCACTGATTGTACTCCAAGGAGAAAAAATAATCTGCCTTTCCATAAAATTCTTTTGTTCTGTGTTAGAAACGATAATAAGCTGACCCTGATCTAAACACAACATATCAGGAAGGGTTCAATCAGAGATCAAATCTATATATATAAAAGACTAAGCTACCATCAGACCAGCCAGTAGGTATGACGTGCACTGGCCACCAGGTGGCAGACGCTCAACGCTGGAGCTGCCCAGTGACAGCAACTCTCGCACTCTGGGACCCCTCCCAGGGATGGAGAGCCAGTTTCGGCCCAATCCCTAAAGGCCAGGCCGAGGGATCCCACCTGCCAGAGGGACCCTGCTCACTCCCCAGATGCTTTTCAAGCCTCGGCGCTGCCCCAGGTGCGGGCAGCCAAGGAGGGACTGTGGAAGGTTGGCTCCAGGGCATGTCTGGCCAGTCTCACCCAGTCCTGTCCTGCCAGCCACCTTCTAATTAATTTCAATGTGCACAAATCTGTGCACTGGGTCACTAGTAGTATTATAAAAAACATTCAATTTCACTGTTAAGCCCATCAGCAGATGAGTGGATTAAAAAACTGTGGTACATCTAAGCAATGGAACACTATGCTGCTGGAAAAAAGAAGGAACTCTTACCATTTGCAACAGCATGGATAGACCTGGAGAGCATTATGCTAGTGGAATAAGCCAGTCTGAGAAAGATAATTATCACATGATCATCTCACTCATTTGTTGAATATAATGAACAACATAAGCTGATGAAAAAATATAGATCCAGAGACATAGAAGCATTGAACAGACCATCCAACCTCAGAGGGAAGGTGGGTGGAGTGGGGGAGAGAGAAAAACCAAAGGACTTGTATGCATGCATATAAGCATAACTCATGGACACAGACAGTAGCAGGGGGAAGGCATGTGCTGGGGTGTGGGAATGGCCAGGGAGAGGTCAATGGGGGAAAAAGGAGACATATGTAATACTTAAAACAATAGAAAAAATTTTAAAAAGAAGTACAAATTATAACAGTAAGATATTTTTTACCTATCATACTTACAAAGATTTAAGAGTTAGACCAAATTTCTCACCACAAGAAAAGAAAGAGAAAATTGCAACTATTTGAATGATGCATGTGTTAACTAATTTGATGTGGCAATCATTTTGCAATATATGCATATATAAAATCACTACGTTGTACACTCTAATGTTATATGTCAATATCTAAATAAAACTGGGGAAAAAAGAATTCATTTTCATTGTATATTATTACTAGAATAGAAAATATATTTTTCAGTCAAATTTTGAATATTATTTACATATTCTACATATCTTCTCTAATATTTTGTGAAAAGTATAAACTGAGGGGAAAACAAAAAAATGTTAGAGTTTACACAAATCAAATTTGACTACATTTTTTTTTGAAGTTGCATGTTTGTAGTAAAACTTAATCTTAAAAAAATATTAGGGGATTGGTCAAGATGGCAGCATAGGTAAATGCAATACTCCCATCCTTTCACAGCCACATCAAAATTACAACTAAACTACAAAAGAGTCATCATTCAGAACCACCTAAAATCTAGCTGAACAGAAGTC